CTCTTGAGAGAATTACCCTGGTGGATGATCTGGGTGTTATGTTAGATCCCAAGTTAAAGTTTTCCGAACACATTTCTACCATGGTAAATAAGGCCATGGGCGTGCTTGGGTTTATAAAGAGGTGGTCAAAGGAATTTGACGACCCCTATATAACAAAGACTCTCTATACCTCGCTTGTTCGTCCGATCTTAGAATACGGCTCCTGTGTATGGTGCCCTCAGTACAAAGTACACCAGGACCGTATAGAATCAGTACAGAAAAACTTTTTACTCTTTGCTCTGCGGGGCCTTAACTGGGATGCGGGTGTAAGACTCCCATCTTACTCTAGTAGACTATTATTAGTAAACCTCCCATCCTTAGTTAACCGTAGAAAAATGCTTGGTGTGATATTTATGCACAACTTGATCAGGGGTGACATAGACAGCCCTGATCTGTTGAGCCGCATAAACTTCACGATTCCTATTAGACTGACTAGAAACTTTATACCGTTGTTCCTTCCACTTTGTAGATCGAATTATTCCTTGCATGAACCGTTTAGGGTCTTATGCTCGGACTATAATTCCCTCTACCATATTATATCCTCCACTAATTCTCTTCCTCTTATTAAATTACTAATCCTTACACACCTTTCTAGTAATTAGTAATTGTAGTGGTATTTGTATTTTGTATTTTCTTGCATGCTTAATTTCTTAATAAGTTTAGTGCTAATTTTCCTCGAAGGTTAGTCTAATATCTATCTTTCTTGCATGCTCGCGTTTGGTTCGGCTACGCACCGCGCGTCATGCGGCAGCGCCCCTCGGTCGGTTGGGCGGGAGGAGGGCTGCGTTTTGCCTGGGATCCGCGCGTAACAGCCTTCTGCTGGTGTCACACGGGCCACTTGACGGTGCAGTAATTGCATCGCCTCTTGTTAGATGCAGTCATTGCATGTCAACGTCCAATAAAAAAAAAAAAAAAAAAAAAAAAAAAAAAAAAGTTTAATGTCAGGAATATGATATCGTGACCGTACATTTCCGGAGGCAGTAACGTTGAGCTCGGGTCGTATCGTTGAGTGATGCGGCATGTTCTGGGTAGTCCTGCGGAGTGCTGAGCGAATACGAACTTCGATTTCCATCGCCAAATCCTCAAAATTGTGGCTTAAGTCGCTGCCAATTTCGCTTACATCAAGCTCTTCTAAATTAGAATGAGTAACATTAAATGAGTCGGATATTTTTTCCAAGAATTTTAAATGAACACTTAGCGCATCTTCACTGATTGGGTTGTTTTCATCATTCAATATCGTCTCTCGAAGTGAAACGGCTTTGTTGTATATTGAGAGTGCCTTTAGTTTGTAAAAAGACACCCTGTTTTCCGGCACGTCATTAGACTCATCCATTTTCGACAGGCAGCAGCGAGCAAAGCACAAAGAAGAATCGAAGAACCAACCGTTTGATTTTTTTTGGTATGCAAGCGCAAGTGCAGCGAACCCGAAGCCGCTAATGCACGTAGCTGTATTAGTGCTTGTAAGCAAGCGCGCGACGAAATGGGAACTAACCGCTTCGCGTTCGAACAGTTATGTTTAGCGGATAATTTTCACTGTTTATAATTGTTTATTTCCAAATTGTTAATGACGATCACGTCGGGGTCACCAAATGTTGAGACAACGAGCTTTTTCGCTGACTATGATTGTTCAATAATTTCACAAATTATTAATTTCCGAAAACGTTATAAATTTTATTATAGGTATTTTGTGTGTTGAGGGTGGCCGAAGATGCCAGAGCCTTTTACAATAGTATTAGAGTGACACACTTGGATGAGGCAAGCGAGCCGATCTCGAGCCAAAGTAATAGTTTGGGGACAAAAAGGGTCTGTTCTCCAACTATATCAAGCGGTAAATGCTAGAGCAGGCGCAGCTGCTGACGGCTTAGCGACGGCATAGGAAAGAAAAGATAACAAGAGCGAGCATAGATAAGAATAGATGATTAAATGAGAGCATGTTGCTGAGCGAGCATAGATAAAGCTACGCTTACGTTACGTTAGTTTAGTATAATGACCAAAATAGAAAAGAAAGTGAATTGATAGGCAATAAAACAATGGTATAAAATTTACACTCGGGCTTCGCCCGAACACCCCTAATAAAGCATAATTTGAATTAGAAGACCAACCAGCAATCATTACAGTATAAACTCCTAATCTAGTACAACATAAAAAAAACAACCCCCCTAAATTAAAGGAATATAATTTAACGAAAAAAGGTATACATATTCACACAAATAATGACAAAAATAATGAAAAAATAGGAGAAATATAATATCTTAAATAATTAGACAAAAGAGGATAAGTTTGTTCTTTTGTAAATAATTTAATTGCATCACAAAAAGGTTGAGGAATTCCTATTAAACCTACTTTATTTGGACCTTTACGAATTTGAATATATCCTAATACTTTACGTTCTAATAAAGTTAAAAAAGCTACACTCACTAATACACAAATAATTAATAATAAACTTCCAATTAATGATAAAATAAATTCTATATAAAACAAGTACTATTTGTAATAAAAATTACATAAATAAATTCTAAATTTATTGCACTAATCTGCCAAAATAGCTTTATTTATATTAATAATATTCTTTTTAAAAATATAATTATTCTAATATTTGGTTCTTTCGTACTAAAATATTATAATTTTTTAAAGATAGAAACCATACTGGCTTGAACTCGGTTTGAACTCAGATCATGTAAGAATTTAAAAGTCGAACACACTTAAAATTTGAACGGCTACACCCAAAATTATATCTTAATCCAACATCGAGGTCTCAATCTTTTTTATCGATATGAACTCTCCAAAAAAATTACGTTGTTATCCCTAAAGTAACTTAATTTTTTAATCATTATTAATGGATCAATTATTCATAAATTAATGTTTCTAAAAATTAAAAGTTTTTTAAATTTTAATATCACCCCAATAAAATATTTTTATTTATTAAAATAAAATTAATCTTTACAATTAAAATAAAAAAATATAAAGATTTATAGGGTCTTCACGTCTTTTAAATTTATTTTAGCTTTTTGACTAAAAAATTAAATTCTATAAAATTTTTAAATGAAACAGTTAATATTTCGTCCAACTATTCATTCCAGCCTTCAATTAAAATACTAATGATTGTGACGGCCCATATTTGGATGGACTTATTTGTGTGCACAGAGCTGTGGCTTATCTGCATGCAAGGGAAGAAACGGGAATAAAGCGAAAGCTTTTGACGGGAGAGCGAGCTTTGGGTTATCTTGGTGGGTTATCTAGCCCTATCGCTTTAGAATGGGATTAAGAAAACAAAATCAAAGCTCAAGCGCTGGATCATTCGATCCATGGAACTAAATTGTGGAAGGTCAGTTTGGTGGTACGGCGAGATAAAAGAAAAGAAAAGATTAAAAGGTTATATGTACACGTGTCTGAAAAAAAAAAAAGGAAAAATTGAAATCTATAAATCGTCGAAAGTAGGGTGCACATGCCAAGCTGCCCCAAAAATTAAGATCAGTGTGCCGAAAAGCCGAAAAATCAGTGATTCTCCAAAGATAAACCCGGTTTCAAGCCCCAAAAGGGGTCTGAGCTTTGCCAATCGATCTCGGTTTCTCCAGTGTAATTCAATATTGACGAAAGTTATCCAACGGAGGTCGAACTTCTGCCGCACAACGGAAATTTGCGATCAACCTTATTTTTGACCTTGGCAGAGGGCATATAGTTGCCTCTGGAATTCTATGTCGTGGCCTGGATAGGCACAGACATATCCATATCGGATGTTCTTCAAGGAAATTATTGACACACACACACACACCCACACTGAATTCAACCGTAGCTACTATTGCTATTATTATTATTTTTTTTGCATTTAAATTTTGTACATTATAATCTAATCTAGGACACATCAATGCATGCAGGCCTGTTGCAGCGATGGAAAACCAAATGTAAGCTACCACTAAAAGTAAGAAAAAACACCGCTTTGCTTATAATTTGATTTGTTCTTCTAAACTTTTCTCCTCTTTATATATATAAGAAACCCCTAGAATTAAGTTGCTGTAACTGTAGATAAATAAGATATTATGAAGATTTGAGGTGATGCAGAGGATGGTTGTTAGTTGGAGTGGAGTTAAAATATGAAAATACACTGAAGTTTGATCAACATGAAATTGGAGTAGAATAACTGTACAGGGGTATTGGGAAGGAGGAACATATAGAGGTTAAGGGTTAACACAAGAAATAGGCGAGCAGAGTTAACATGGTAGGGTGGGTAAACGCGGAGATTACAAGACCTAACTCCGTGCGGCGATGCATATGGCACTATTGATTTGATTTGTATAACACCTAATGGCCAGGTTAGCATCAGAATCTCTTGTATGTGTTTAGCTGAACAACTGAAAGATCCCCCCCATCCGACGAGCCCTAGCCGAAAGATCCCACACAGTGCTAACCATAAAATCTATGCAAGTTGTCTAGTTTGTGGAATGCGTCTCGAAAGCTACCACACCAGAACACCGGGACACATTACAAAAGTGGCGCCCAACGTGGGGCACGAAACAACAACAACCGTAACAAAACATTGTGTCTCAGTTATTGTCAGCATATAGAATTTTTGCTTTTGTTTCCTTTCTGGAAAACTGCAATGGTTGGTGCAAGTCACAGTCCATTCTGTCCGAAACGATGAGGGAGCATCGGGTTTATATGCGTGCCAGGAGCTAAGTGGAAGAAAATTGTATTAATGTCTGTGGAAATCTTTAAGATTTAGAATGCTAGTCATTAAATCTTGCTGCCCGGAACAATTGGTATATTTTTTTCTGAAGCTTCAGCTCGTGTTGAAGACAATAATTTTTTTTTATAGTATATTTTGGGAACAAATCATGGTGTGATATGTATTGCCATAATCTTTGTATGTTCCAAATCTCAATACCCTTGATCCGTATAGTTTATTTTTGGAGTGAATTTGACATTTTCGAGCATTTATTCGGTAAAATTCTTAAAGATTGATTTGTGTGTGCACCATGGCCGTAAGACGAAGTTTAGATATGACCACATCCACAAATAATGAACAGGTTTGCAGAGTCTGTTCACACCCAATGATTTCATTGGATTTAAAACTCATAACACGATGTAAACATATTTTCCATAGAACATGCATTTTGAATTGGCTTGATAAGTCGCGATCTTGCCCAACATGTCAAAACAATGTTACAAGAAACAGTCTATTAGAGGTTCTTTCCGAAAATGTTGCCGACCACAATCTGAACCTGGAAACAAATAGTTTGGAGAGGATTCTGTTAACTAATAGTCAAAAGAAGAAAAAGAAACAGTCGCAGCAATCAAATGAGATAGTAGATCTCGAGTATAACAGTAACGTATTGTCTAATTCTGCTTCTGCGGATAACCCAAACCAAGATGCAGGTTTCTTAGAGCAGAGAATATTATCACAGGTAGATCATCGAATAACTACGCAAATTAGTCAAATGCAGTCCATGATCTCGGAACTGTCTCGTCAAATTTCTAAGTTAACAACAGACAGGGCAGGAAGAACGGATGCAATACCTAACTTCCATACCAATGCAGATGATAATGGAAATAACAATGAACCTGATTGGGGAAGAAGAACTACTAGAGCTTCGTCACTTAATCTAGAAAGAGACGTACCCACCTTCATACCCAATGAATATAGAAATAGTAACAATCTACCGGAGAGAAATGGTAGTTTCAATCTAAGTCGCGATGTGGGAAAAGTAGCAAATTTGATTAGTAGCTGGAAAGTGCAGTATAATGGCTCACGCAATGGTATGCCGGTAGGGAAGTTCATATACATGATTACAGCTTTGACAAATGATAGCTTACGAGGAAACTTTGAAGTGTTGTGCGAACACATTCATATTCTCTTTAGTGGCCGAGCAAGTGAATGGTTCTGGAGATACAGACGCACTGTAGACAGAGTAAACTGGTCCGATCTTTGTAAGTCGCTGAATTCCTATTTTCTTGAACCGCTATCTGACGATGACGTGAGAGAATTGATAAGAGATCGCAAGCAGCAAATCAGCGAAAGTTTTGATGAATTTCATAACGGAGTTCTGCATTTAGTAGATCGACTACAATACCCTATTAGCGAGAGTCAACTAACGTCAATTCTGAAACGAAATCTGAGACCGTTTATGAGAAAGGAGTTGTTCTATATAGAAGTCGATTCGGTTAGCCAGTTGAGAAAATTAGTCCTTAGACGAGAAGCTTTTAGTGAGGAGTATAACACCGCTAACCTGAAAGCAAACACACGAAAGCAAATTAATGCATTGGAGTATGACCAAGAACGTTCAGATAACCATCTAGGAGAGCAAGAAATTTGCGAACTAAAAAGAACTAGAGCCTTAGAAGAGATTCAATGCTGGAATTGTCGCAGGTTTGGCCATAAACACGCAGATTGCCAATCTGATAAGAAGATATTTTGTTTAGGTTGCGGAGCTGAAAATATAATAAGACCAAATTGTGAAACCTGTCAGGAAAACCGACGGTTGAGCGGCAACAAGAACAGCAGTTACCGCTCAAATCCTCAACATTAAATAAAGAGCATTCTTCTTCTTACTGTCCGAAAGTCAATATAATTCCTAAATATTTAAATTCCAAAAATATTCAAGGTAAATTATATCCAATAGTCTCGTATCATATAAGACTTCGAAACTATGAAGAAATAAGAGAAAAAATATTTGGTAGCGATTTAGTTAAAAAACCCAGTTGTGTCCGAACTAAGAGAAATACCGTTTGTTTTCGTAACTTTATAAGAAAAGTTAAAGATAGTGTTCGGGCGAAGCCCGAGTGTAAATTTTATACCATTGTTTTATTGCCTATCAATTCACTTTCTTTTCTATTTTGGTCATTATACTAAACTAACGTAACGTAAGCGTAGCTTTATCTATGCTCGCTCAGCAACATGCTCTCATTTAATCATCTATTCTTATCTATGCTCGCTCTTGTTATCTTTTCTTTCCTATGCCGTCGCTAAGCCGTCAGCAGCTGCGCCTGCTCTAGCAGTTACCGCTTGATATAGTTGGAGAACAGACCCTTTTGTCCCCAATCTATTACTTTGGCTCGAGATCGGCTCGCTTGCCTCATCCAAGTGTGTCACTCTAATACTATTGTAAAAGGCTCTGGCATCTTCGGCCACCCTCAACACACAAAATACCTATAATAAAATTTATAACGTTTTCGGAAATTAATAATTTGTGAAATTATTGAACAATCATAGTCAGCGAAAAAGCTCGTTGTCTCAACATTTGGTGACCCCGACGTGATCGTCAGTAACAATTTGGAAATAAACAATTATAAACAGTGAAAATTATCCGCTAAACATAACTGTTCGAACGCGAAGCGGTTAGTTCCCATTTCGTCGCGCGCTTGCTTACAAGCACTAATACAGCTACGTGCATTAGCGGCTTCGGGTTCGCTGCACTTGCGCTTGCATACCAAAAAAAATCAAACGGTTGGTTCTTCGATTCTTCTTTGTGCTTTGCTCGCTGCTGCCTGTCGAAAATGGATGAGTCTAATGACGTGCCGGAAAACAGGGTGTCTTTTTACAAACTAAAGGCACTCTCAATATACAACAAAGCCGTTTCACTTCGAGAGACGATATTGAATGATGAAAACAACCCAATCAGTGAAGATGCGCTAAGTGTTCATTTAAAATTCTTGGAAAAAATATCCGACTCATTTAATGTTACTCATTCTAATTTAGAAGAGCTTGATGTAAGCGAAATTGGCAGCGACTTAAGCAACAATTTTGAGGATTTGGCGATGGAAATCGAAGTTCGTATTCGCTCAGCACTCCGCAGGACTACCCAGAACATGCCGCATCACTCAACGATACGACCCGAGCTCAACGTTACTGCCTCCGGAAATGTACGGTCACGATATCATATTCCTGACATTAAACTTCCCACTTTCCGTGGAGGTTATACTGAGTGGGCAGACTTTTACTCGATGTTTAGCACAGTAATAGATCAGGAGCCCTTTCTATCAAAGATTGAGAAGTTCCAGCACCTGCGCTCATGTTTGGATGGACCTGCCCTGGAGGCTGTTCGCTCTTTGGAAGTATCGGAGAGCAATTATGATATTGCATTGGACATTTTAACCAATCGTTTCAATAATAAACGTTTAATCTTTCAGGCACACGTCGCTGAGATTCTGAGGCATGAGAAGGTTGAAGATGGGTCAACTACAAAGCTACGTACTTTATCGGACAAGCTTCATTCTCACATGAGAGCGCTTAGATCGATGGGTACCATGGAGGAAATAGCTGGATGCATCATCGTTCACTCCACATACAAGTATCTCGACTCTGATACCAGGACCAAATGGGAGGAGCTGTCGCCCCCTAACGTCATACCAACATGGGACCATTTTTCGGCTTTTTTGGAGAGGAGATGTCAAGCCATGGAGACCATGGATCAAGCTATGTTGATTCAAATCCATAGCAGTCAGGTTGGAAAACATAAACGAATCACTCATTCAAAACACAGTCTTGTTGCTACAAATACAATCGTATTGGAATGCGTGTTCTGTGATAATAAAGGGCATAACATTTATAGCTGCACTCGCTTTGGAAACCTTTCGCCATCTTTGCGTCTTAGAGAGGCAAGGAAGCTTAGAGTTTGCTTCAACTGTTTGAAGAAGGGACATCGGAATACCTCCTGCAGTTCAGGCTCTTGTCGCACATGCGGTGAAAAGCATCATACCCTTTTACATATCAACAATCCGCTGCCTACGTCAGTTAACACGGAACCTGCAAACGCTACTACGTCTCCTATTCAGACAGACTTATGCCCAGGCCCCAATCTTTCAAGTTCTCTTGTTGCCGCTTCATCACCATGCTCGCCTCCTGCTCAGAATCTTAGCTCAGACGTAGTGCTTCTAGCCACGACAGTCATTATGATAAAGAGTCGAGTTGGTGATCTTCTTCCTTGTCGGGCTCTTCTGGATTCAGGCTCTCAGATTAATTTAATAACCTCTCGCTTTGCTCAGAGGCTTCAGCTGAAACGAGCCAAAGGGTCGGTATCAGTATCGGGTATCGGCGCTGATTCTGCATTTCACACGGAAGGTTCAGTTAATTTGGTCATTCAATCCAGGACTTCCGATTACTTCACGAGTCTCACAGCTCTCGTTGCTCCACGTATTACAGGAAACCAGCCTGCTTCTTCATTTGATGTATCCAAATGGGAAATGCCATCCAATATCAGCCTTGCTGACCCACACTTTAACAAATCTCAGCGCATCGATGTACTTATTGGAGCCAGCTTATTTTACGACATTTTATGCGTTGGACAGATCAAATTGGAGAGGGGACTTCCTATAATACAAAAAACCCGTCTCGGCTGGGTTGTCACAGGTGGAGGTCAGTACTCCCGCAGCTCAGTGCTCCTAGCTGCCTCTAGTTCGACGGAATTGAGTCAAACGCCTACCGTTGGTTTGGATGAGCTAGTGCGAAGGTTCTGGGAAGTGGAAAACTGCCACGGTCCCGCTACAGAAGCAACAAAGGAGGAAATTGCTTGCGAGGAACATTTCAAAAAACATTGCGGTCGGCTTCCAAGTGGCGAATATTGCGTTCAATTGCCTTTAAAGCTGAGTGACAGTCTTCTTGGAGATTCTTATCAACAAGCCTATCGCAGATTTCTCAATCTAGAGCGCAAGTTGGTTCGCAAACCGCTTCTCAAGGCCCAATACGCCGCATTTATAAAGGAATACGTCGATTTGAATCACATGTCCCCTGTCAAAAGTGACGCACTTAAACAATGCAAATTTTTTCTTCCTCATCACTGCGTCTTAAGAGAAGACAAAACCACCACAAAACTCCGAGTAGTTTTCGACGGATCCGCTTGTACATCTACAGGATATTCCCTCAACGAGATATTGATGTCAGGCCCAACAATTCAGCCAAAGTTAGTTACGACTCTTCTTCGATTTCGTACCTTTCGTATAGCATTGACTGGTGACATTTGTAAAATGTATAGATGCGTCCGTGTCTCGCCCCAAGATAGTTTTCTGCAGTGCATACTGTGGCGTGACTCACCCCTCGAGGAGCTAAGGACATTCAAGCTGGATACCGTGACCTATGGAACGAAACCAGCAGCATTTCTGGCCGTCCGTTCTATGCACCAACTAGCGGCAGACGAGAGTTCGTCATATCCAATTGGCTCTGAAGTTGTGCTGCGGGACTTTTACGTGGATGATTTGCTAACGGGGGGAGATACTACAAATGAGGTGCTGGAAATAATTCGCCAGGTGTCAGGACTATTAGCCAAAGGAAATTTCAAGATCAGAAAATGGTGTTCCAACGATACATATGTACTCGATCAAACACCCCATGAAGATAGGGAAACATTTGTTAAATTTACTGATGGCAGCGATGTAACCAAGACGCTAGGTTTAGCATGGAATCCCACTTCGGATGAGCTATTATTTTCATTCTGTCCCAATCAAGTCCCTTCGAAACCAACTAAGCGAGTTGTATTGTCAACTATTGCACGATTTTATGATCCACTCGGACTTATAGGGCCAGTTATTACTAAAGCAAAAATATTTCTACAGCAGCTGTGGAAAGAAAAGCTTCATTGGGATGAAAGTCTGCCAGTCTCCTTACGCACAACTTGGATCAACTTTATTCAGCAGTTTGACTCTATGCAACAAATTTCTTTCCCGCGCCTATCTTTCCTTCGAAGCAGCAACCTTGAAATGCATGGATTTTGTGATGCCAGCATGAGTGCTTATGGAGCTTGCATCTACGCTGTTTCGCAAGGCGACAATGGAGTCAAGGCAAATCTTCTATCTTCCAGATCTCGTGTAGCGCCACTGAAGACTATCACAATACCCAAGTTGGAATTATGTGGTGCAGCGCTACTCGCTCAGCTTATGCATGAAGTGTCTTTGATGAACTTCAAGTGCTCTTATTATTGCTGGTGTGACTCCACAGTCGTTTTGGCTTGGATCAAGAATCAACCATCCAACTTCAATGTATTTGTCGCTAATAGACTTTCTGTTATTCAGGAACTCACATCTGGAATGTCTTGGCTGCACGTGCCAACTGATCTAAACCCTGCCGATATGCTTTCTCGAGGATCATTACCAGCTGAGCTCATCAATTCTCATCTTTGGAAGTATGGACCTACATACTTGACAGCCAGTAAGGATCAATGGCCAAGTACACCTGCTCTTCCAGAGCCGGTTTTGGAGGCACGAAAAACCATACTAATTACAAACTGCGCGTCAAGATATTTGGTGGAAGAATCAAAGTTTGCAAATTCCTTCCCCAAAATGCAACGAATTTTTTCGTATGTATGCAAATTCATTCATCGACGAAAGTCTGGAATAACTGTGGAGGACTTGCGTTTGGGAACCGAACTGCTTATTCGTCTTACTCAACAATCTCGTCTATCCACTGAAATAAGAGCCCTGGAAACGCGAAAGGACATCAAGGCTTCAAGCTCGATCGCCTCTCTTTCGCCATTTTTAGATGATTGCGGTTTGCTTCGAGTTGGAGGGCGTCTTAAAAACTCTACCTTGGACTTTGAAGCACGGCATCCCATAATATTGCCCAAGAATCATTCCATCACTTCTGCTCTGATACGGCACTTACACGAAAAGCACCTTCACGCTGGACCCCAGTCGCTATTAGCCATCATTCGTCAAACGTACTGGCCAATCGGTGGCCGAAAGACCGTAGCACACGTAATC